AAAAAAAAAAAAAAAAAAAGGCCAAAATGTCATACCCTGGGCCCGCCGTTGATAAATTTGATCCGCGATCGCATTTGCATTTCACACCTCCAGAATTTGAGGTGGCAGGCCCACGGCCCAGGTGCCCATGTACTGATGCTTTAGGGGCCATGCTACACGACCCATCCTCGCCCCTTCCCAGACCTCAACCAGGTAAAACAAGTTATTTGACATGCTGTTTGCAGAGGCTCATGAGAATCTTCATCCAAAATCTTTATCTGCCAACTCGCCAGGACTTCCCCTGACATTAGGACCATACTAAGAACCGGTTATAGACATCCTATAGTTGTGGCTCCATTTCTTTCCGAGGAGAGCATCAAACCCATGCCAATCGGTTCTACTACAGCATCACACATCTATTGACAACAAAAACAGAGCACCACCATGGCATCAAGCTCAGGCCAAGGGAACGAAGTACCTCGTTTGAAGAATCATTTGGTTCACATGGTACTGAATCCCAGGGCCACTTGGCCAAGGCCACCTAGCCTGGCCTTTACGGAGGCCAAATCCAAACAGTATTGGTGGGTTCAATGTTACATGCTGCACATGCACACACGGGCCATTTTGCAGGCCCGACGTCGTTCAGGCCAAAAACCTGAAGGCTTACAGGCCCCGCCGACGGTTCAGCCTGACAGCCCGAGAAAGGACCTACAGGCTCCAGCCTGTTTCCCTACAGGGAAACTTCCAGGCTCTTGCCTGGAAGCTTCCTTCTGACAGGACCTACAGGCCCCAGCCTATTTCCCGACAGGGAAACTTCCAGGCTCTTGCCAGGAAGCTTCTTTCTGACAGGGCCTACAGGCCCCAGCCTGTTTCCCTACAGGGAAACTTCCAGGCTCTTGCCTGGAAGCTTCCTTCTGACAGGGCCTACAGGCCCAAGCCTGTTTCCCTACAGGGAAACTTCCAGGCTCTTGCCTGGAAGCTTCCGCAGGGTCTAGGCCAGGGAGGCATTGGCAAGAGCGGCCTCCTGCGAATAGGGCATTGGCACGACCAGCCTCCTGCACAGGCCAGCACTATAAAGGACTGGCCCGCCCTACAGGAGGGRGGCAGTCGGCAGTTGTAGTCTTCAGGATTCGGGAGTAGCCCTCTGGAGGGAGCGCTGCGTTATAGTAGTGATAGCGTTAGCTAGTAGCCTTCGGCGCTGGGCGCCATAGCTAGGATAGTGGTAGAGAGAGAGCTTGGGCGGAGGCCAGGGGTACCTACCTGCAGCGCCATTGCTCCAGCTTCGTCTTCAAGGTACCTGCAGCACAGCGCCACATCACAGGTTAGTAYCTGGTTCGTAACAGTGAGAGAGAGAGAGTYCTTCTTCCTCTTCTTCTCARTCCACCRTCTCCTTCTCTCCCTCTCAACCCTTGACTTCACTGCATTTGCAGACTGCGAGAGAAGAGATACCGAGCTTGGTGATATCGGATCCAAGACTCGACTTTTTGGGATTCAGACCTGGCAACGAGGGGTTATTTGGGATCGGTGACAAAGACTTGGTGTTAACGCCACTCCCATCTTCCTCCCTCCTTTCGTCTGATCCTTACCTCTTCGCCTATGCATGTCTGGACCTGGCGCTTTCTTCCTGTGTGCAGCGCCAGGCTCCTTCACACCTGGTGAGGGGTACAATGCATGTTTGGTCTGAGTTCAACCATCGGTTGGACTAGCTATCAACAATCTAGCAGTCTGTTTCGCTACTTGCTACTACATGTGTAAGGTCAGTCCTTGTCAGGTCGGTCTTTGTATCTAAGTCTTCCCTGCGCTATTCAGCACTTTTGTATGTTTGAGAATGCACATTGTCTGTCGAGATTCTACTCTCACCGCATTGTCCATTTCAGTCCTTTTCGTCACAATGCAGTTCCTCGATTATTACAAACATCACATATCTGTGCATGTAACAGTTGGTATCGGAGCTTTGGACGTGAATCAGGACTACCTGATCTGACACGTGTGCGGGGACTAAAGAGCTAGGTAGTCTTTTCCGATTGATTAGGACATATCAGTTAGACCCCAAAATCACGATCTTGACCTTACTACCGAAAATCAAAATTTTTTTTCGGATTTTATTTTTCTCGCTATTCTGTTGTAGGAAAATCGCAATATCGCAACATCTGAAATTTCCATATTCATCTTTTTCTAATAATTCGAAATTTCGTTGTTGAAAATCTGGAATATTTTTCTTTTCGAAAGTTTCGATTTCCTGTTGCATTTCCCAATACTTAGAATTCAGAATATTGTCTTTTCTGAAATTCGTTTTTTTGAAAACGGTACGGGAAACATCTCCCGATACTTAAGAATTCGAAATATTGTCTTTTCTGAAATTCGTGTTTCTGAAAAACGGTACGGGAAAACTCTCCTGCGGTATTATTTTCAAACTGTGAATATCCTTATCGAAATAAATCCGAATATTTGTCATTTCTGTTCGAAATTTCTTTCGCAGTTCGGGGATTCTGTCGTTCAGTCATATCAATCATTTGCAATATAAAGTCGAAATCTTTTTCGCTTTCAGTGATCATTTCGTACTTCAAGGGAGGTCGGGGGACCTACCGAACTTGCCAAAAACAAAAAAACAAAAAACAAAAAAAAAAAAATTGGGATTTTTATATTTTCGAAATTCTTTTGCAAAGTTCAAACTTTTCTCTTTTGATTAGTGGCTCCTTACCGAGTGTGAGTTGGGCGATTATCCCACCCACCCCTCCCCACCTATGTTGTTGCTATCTCTCACCTTACCGTTTCTGTTTGAATCCGGGTACCCCCTGCGGCGGCATTGGTGAGTTGCCACGTCAGAAGGACACGTCAGCAGGCCACGTCAGCAGGACACAACAGCAGGCCACGTCAGCAGACACATCAGCAGAACCACGTCAGCAGCAAGGGATACCTTATCAGCAGGCCCCGGCCGGTCTATGCTGTTGAGATCTCAAACAGCAGTCATGGACCAGAGGCCCGGAGAAGCGGACGAGGCCTATCAGGCCCGCATGCTGGCCTGGAGTGCGGAGACTAAGAAACGGGCAGATGACGCTGCAGCAGCAGCGAAGAAGAAGGCGGAAGATGCAGAGCAGGCACGTCTGCTGGCACTTGAACAACAGCGCCAGCATGACGAGGCAGCAGCAAGGGCTGCCGATGAAGAAAGAATACAGCGACGTGAGAAGATATTCACTGGAGAGTGGGCGTTACTTACCATGGCAGCGGCATGGCGGACCGAGGCCGAGGATGGCAAGCTGGAGGACAGCGCCAACAAGAGAGCGCTCCTCCTCTCGCATCTCACGGATCTCCTGGCCACCTGCATTACACAGCAGGCTCATCTCCAAGACCGCCTTCAGCAGTTGGAGCAGCGACTAGTCGCCGCCGCAAACGCAAGCTCTTCCAACACTACCGACCGCCTCAATGCATTGGAGATGGACGTCGGTGCACTCAAGGATGGCGTACAATCGCAGCAGACCGCGACACAGCAATTGCAACAGCGGATCTGCACTACCGCCACCACTTCGAGTACAGAACCGCGCGAGACCACTCCAAAGTTCGACGTGCAAGAGATCTTCTGCGACTCAACGAAGACAGATCCTATTCCATGATTTCGCAAGTTCGAGCTCACGCTGCAGCTGTCCAACGTCAAGGAACACAAGCATCACGCCTACTTGTACTCTCGCGCAGGGGGCGCGTGCCAGGCTTGCTTGAACAACCTCCTGTCCAAGTATGGAGTGGTAGCAGCGGACTTGCACACCGTGATCAACTGGGATGATCTGAAGGCGGCGTGGCACAAGCGATTCCAGTTGGAGCCGCCAGAGATCAAAGCCATGGACAAGCTCATGGTCTTTGAGCAAGGCACGCTGCCGAGTACGGACTGGATCGCCAAGTACCAACGCTTGACGTCAGTCCCAGACATCCAGATGGGCTTCAAGGCCATCCGCCATTACTTCATCTCAAGGTCATGTCCAACATTGAGCAATGCCCTGATGCATGTCGAAGACACCTTGACGACGACGGCGGAGTTGTTCGACAAGGCTGYGCAGATCATTATCACAAACAAGGAGGCCAAGAACCTTCATTCATCTGCGTCAGGCCCGAGCAGGGACCAGCATCGGCCAAGAGTGGCCATGGTCGCAGCGGCAACGCCATTAGACCAAACCAGCGAGGCTGTGTCTGCAAGTGAAGGAGTCAGACTCGCAGCCGCCCGGGAAGGTGGTCGCCCCGGCAAAGGCCGAGGACGCGGCAGGACGAAGACACACAGCGCATCTAGCCCCGGGCCCGGTGCAGCAGCTCAAACAGGCCCATGGACCCAGTATGGCATCTCTGAGTCCGCATTCAAGGCGCGCGAGAGATTCCATTATTGCCTTTGGTGCAACAACGATCTTCACCAGACGCAGGCTTGCCCATTGAAAGGCAAGGGCAAACAAGGAAACTGAGCACCGCCGAGAGTGACTCGACGACACTCTCGACGCCTTCGGAACCGGTTTCTTCGCGAGTAGCCGGCCTTCATTCCGAGGCGCATGTGAAAGTCGATTGTCCTCCTCTTCTACTTTCTTTTGAGGACTTTGTTGCCCGGCTCGTTCCAACGCTGGGTACTCGAGCTCAAGGACAAGGAGTGTGTGCGGTTTCTTCTCCGTTCGGCAACGGCGACACTTCGTCTTCAAGTGATTCTTCACGGGAATTGGCGCGCGAGTTCAACATAGAGGCATTGGACCCGCTCACGTCTGAGGACTTTGCATGGCTTCCTCTCCCAACCACCGACCGATTGCAATGCGCAGCACTTAGCGCTAATCTTCACACTTACCTATCCTTCTATGCACCACCAACTTCGCCGACGGATGACGAAGTCGAGGTGGGGGACATCTTGGCGTATACTACCAAGGTGCCCCGCGAGTTTCGCACGCAGCGGTACGATGAGAACGCACCGCTGATGAATGTCCGCATTCAGGTTGGGCAGGCGTCCTGCAGCGCTTTGCTGGATAGCGGCGCGACTCGCAACTTCATGAGCCAATCCTTTATGCCAAGGGCTGGCCTTGGCGCACAGGTTCGGAGGAAGGCAAACTCAACGGCGATCAAGTTGGCGGACGGTAAGACGCAGCAACATCTCGACCGTTACATCGAGGCCGTACCGGTCTACTTCGCACCTCATGCATGCGAACCGGTCACGTTCGATATTCTCGACACGGACTTCGACATCATTCTGGGAATGCCTTGGATTGCAAGTGCGGATCACACGGTCAACTTCCATCGGCGGACTCTTAGCGTTCGCGACGCCTTCGGCGCGGAAGTGGCGTGTACTGTTCCTCTACCGCACTCTTCGATCCGGTGCCAAGTGGTAACGGCCAAATCATTCCGGGCGACTTGTGCCTACGAGCAGCCCGATGAGATCGGCCTATGTTTCCTACAGACCGTCGCGGTAGCCGACTCTTCCCCCACGGACTTGTCTTCGGACCCCTGTGTGGTGCGGTTGCTGGACGAGTTCGCCGAAATCTTCGAGTCACCTACCGGTGTGGTGCCGGATCGGCCGATCTCTCACGAGATCATTCTTGAGGCCGGTGCTGTGCCGCCGAAAGGTTGCATCTATCGGATGAGCGAGGAGGAGCTTGAGGTACTCCGCGCACAACTCGATGATTTGTTGGCCAAAGGCTGGATCCGCCCGAGCAGCTCCCCATATGGAGCACCTGTTCTCTTCGTCAAGAAGAAGAACAAGGATCTACGATTGTGTATCGACTACYGCAAGCTCAACGCGCAAACCATCAAGAATGCGGGGCCTCTTCCTCGCATCGACGATCTTCTCGAGCGACTGGGCGGCGCGAAGTATTTTTCCAAGTTGGATTTGAAATCGGGATATCATCAAATCTCGATCCAGCCGCACGATCGCTACAAGACCGCGTTGAAGACACGGTACGGGAATTTTGAGTGGGTGGTCATGCCTTTTGGCCTCACCGGCGCCCCGACGACGTTCCAGGCGGCGATGACCAACGAGTTCCGTGCAATGTTGGACCGGTTCGTGCTGCTCTACTTAGACGATATTCTCGTCTACAGCCGATCATTGGAGGATCATCTGGGGCACCTTCGACGAGTGTTGGAGACGCTCCGCCGCGCCAAGTAGAAGGCCAACCGCGACAAGTGTGAATTTGCCCGGCAGGAGCTGGAATACTTGGGCCATTTTATCACAGTGGATGGCATCAGTCCGCTGTCGGACAAGATTCAGGCCGTCCAGGAGTGGCCGGAGCCTCGAAACGTCACGGTAGTTCGCTCGTTCCTTGGTCTTACCGGCTACTATCAGCGTTTCATCGAAGGCTACTCCAAGATCGCGGCCCACTTGCACAAGCTTCAGTGCGAGGATCGTCCGTTTGAATTTGGAGAGGAGGCGCGGGGATCATTCCTTGCTCTCAAAGCCCCGCTATTGTCTGCGGAGGTCTTGCAAATCTACGACCCGCTCGCACCTACGCGTGTCACTACGAATGTGTCAGGATATGGCATTGGTGCAATCCTCGAGCAACATGATGGTGTGGACTGGCACCCGGTCGAGTACTTCAGCAAGAAAGTGCCCCTCGTGCATTCCATCGACAATGCACACAAGAAGGAGCTCCTCGCCTTCTTCCACACGCTCAAGCGGTGGCGGCACTTCCTCCTTGGTCGAAGCCAATTTCGCTGGGTAACGGACAACAATCCATTGGTCTTCTACAAGACCTAGGACACCGTCAACAGCACCATCGCTCGATGGATGGCTTTCATCGACCAGTTCGACTTCTTTCCCGATCGCATTCCCGGGAAGTCGAACCGTTTTGCGAATGCTCTTTCACGGCGTCCGGATCATTGTATCGCGGTCTACTCAACTTTCGAGATTGACGACGACCTGCGGAACAGCTTCATCCGCGGCTACCAAGCCGACCCCGAGTTTCGCGACAAGTAAGCGAATTGCTCCTCGCCTAATCCGTCTCCTTCTCACTACCGAATCGAGGAGGGGTACTTGCTTGTCCACACGCGGGGGAAGGACCTTCTTTGCGTACCAAGTGATCCTCACTTGCATACACGGATTCTTGGCGAGTTCCACGATGCTCCCGCCACTGGACACTTCGGGGTCAATCGCACGATTGGCCGACTTCGCCAGCGATTTTGGTGGCCTGGCCTTCTCAGCGACGTCACGCGCTATTGCGAGTCTTGCGAGGTTTGTCGTCGCTGCAAATCCCACAACCATCGTCCGTACAGCGAGCTACGACCATTGCCGGTCCCGTTGAGGCGAAGGGAAGCAATTGCCATGGACATTACCGGCCCGTTCCCCAAGCACAAGACCGGAGTGGATGGGATTCTCACGGTGGTCGACCGACTCACCAAGTTCGCCATGTTTTTGCCTTGTCGCTATCATGCCAAGGCACCGGAGTTGGCCGAGGTTTTGTACGCAGGTTGGATTCGCACCAAGGGTTACCCCAAGGAGATCGTCTGCGACCACGACACTCTGTTCATGTCCGATTTTTGGTTGGCGCTCATCAAACGATGAGGCTCATCTCTCAAGCCCAGTTCAGCTCGCCACCCTCAGACCGATGGCCAGACGGAGAGGGCGCATCAGACCGCACAGGTTCTCCTTCGCACTCTCATCCGCCCCGACCAGAAAGACTGGGTTGAGCGACTGCCGAATAACGAGTTGGCCTACAACTCTTCCATCCACCCGGCTATTGGGATATCGCCCTTCGAGTTCAAGCACGGCTCGCCGGTCACGTCCCCGTTGGACACTATCACTCCACGCACAACCGAGAGCGACAACCGTCTTCTTTTCTTGCGTCGAATGCAAGAGCTTCTTGTCAAGGCACGCGACCAGATGGCTAAGACACAGCAGTGCATGAGCCAGCAGGCCAATCGCCAGCGTCTCCCTTGTCCATTCCGCGCCGGGGACCTCGTCTGGGTTTCCGCCGCGGAATTCGGCCTTAAACAAGACATCTCTCGCAAGCTCCTTCCGGAATGGATGGGACCTTGGCCGATCATAGAGCCCGCTGGGGACGCACCCGAAGGGCCTTCCTTCACGATTCGGGTGCCTAGCCACTTGCCCGTCTACCCAGTCTTTCATTGCTCCAAATTGGCTCTCTACACGCCTGCGGAGCATGACGATTTTCCCGGGAGACGTACACAGGACCCTCCTYCCATGGATGGTTTTCAGGAGGTCGGCGACATCATCTCCCAGCGACGCTTTGGCAACAAGCCAACTGAGTATTTCGTGCATTTTGCATACTGCACCCACCGAGCTGACCGTTTGTTAACCCGTGCGGAACTTCAAGCGACAGCTCCAGACGTTCTCGCACGCTATGAGCGCAAAATGCAAGGCAAGCCGGTTTCCTCGGCTCCCCGCCGCGCCCGCGTCCAGGTTCCACCTTCAGATCGACGGCTTCGCCCTCGCCCCGGCTTGACTTCATAAGGAGGGGGGGGTGTTACATGCTGCACATGCACACACGGGTCATTTTGCAAGCCCGACGTCGTTGCATGTCTGGACCTGGCCCTTTCTTCCTGTGTGCAGCGCCAGGCTACTTCACACCTGGTGAGGGGTACGATGCATGTTTGGTCTGAGTTCAACCATCGGTTGGACTAGCTATCAACATTCTAGCAGTCTGTTTCGCTACTTGCTACTACGTGTGTAAGATCAGTCCTTGTCAGGTCAGTCTTTGTATCTAAGTCTTCCCTGCGCTATTCAGCACTTTTGTATGTATGAGAATGCACATTGTCTGTCGAGATTCTACTCTCACCGCATTGTCCATTTCAGTCCGTTTCGTCACATTGCAGTTCCTCGGTTATTACTAACATCACATATCTGTGCATGTAACATTCAACCAAGGGCAACCAAGCACTACTTCAAATTCAGCTGCGGCAACCAAACAGTATCGCCGCATTAAGGCACCAATAGTGCTGCTGGCCGTGGAACATTCTGACACCGTGATCCAGTCCTCCCTGGAAACCCATCTGAACTTCCTCACCACAACTCTGCACTTGGCTTCCTCAAGCAAACTCAGACAATGTTTAGACCTAGAGCCAGTTCTGACCTAGATCTGACTCAGTTCTGACCTAGAGCCATCATGCACCTCACTGGCCACCAGCAAACAAAGCTTGGCAGAGATTTTGATAAGAACAGGGTCCAAATTGTGCAGGAAACACAGCTCCAAGGGCCCCAATTTTTCCCTTCTTTTTGGAGAGGGATTAGACAAAACATTAGCCCAAGTAGAAAAGGGAGGCCTGTCCAGCAAGTTCAAAATCCGGGCCACGGGACCGCCACAAGTTTGGCTTCTCACATGCCACTGAACCCATGGAACCCCACCCTGCTACTCCACACTCAGCTATCTTGAGTGATGCGAGCGAGACTTCAGACCATGCCCATCAAGCTAGTTCTAGCCAACCACCAACCCAGGTTTGGCTTCTCGCATGCCAACAACTTTCTCACCACTACTCTGCACTTGGCTACCTCACATGATCTCAGGTATACTTTACTTTAGAACATAATGAGAAAAGATCCAACTGCTCATCCTCTTCCCCCTGCAAGGTTGAAAAAGACTCGTCACCCCCTAGCCCAACAAGAGCCGACTCCCTGCTAACACAGCTTGAACCACGCCACCTGGTCATCATCTATTTGAATGGTGCTCACACAATGGAGCACAGCATCACCCTGTTCAGGGTTCACTGACCTCAGTTATTTGCACCAGACACAATTCCTCAATTGCACAGCAGATAATAACTTAGGACCTATACCACAATCGCAGTTTCCAAGCGAGCCTAGGTGACAATGCTGGGTCAGACGCACCGTCACACCACTCACCAATCTATCTGCACATGACTGATACTGATCCAAGGAGACGACACAGCAGACGTTCAACCACAACGACCTCCTCCTAATCCTTCACATTCTGACATAACTCTCATTCAGGGGAAGTAACCAACGTACACCCCTCCTGACCTCACTCTTTTCTCGGTAATTTTAAAACCACCTGCATCTCCTCCCTTTCTCGGTATTTTTAAAACCACCAGTACCTCTCCCAGGCGAACTTCTGCAATGAATGTCCACAACCACATTCTTTGTGGGCTCAGCCTCCTGGACCAGCCAAAGAGGAAATGAAAGAGTGTCACGCCAGTTCGTCTTGGAATTAGTTCGCATAGGCGGTAGTGGTTCAAAAAGGGCAACAGCCTCGAGGTATCATCTGACCCCGGCAATTCAGAGTCATTTTACTCACCTGATTCCAGCAGGCCTTAGGGAGGGCCTGTTTAGACGGCTGTACAATTCTGCCACACAGACTGGATCCCCTATGAATTTTGGCTTGTGCCATCCCAACCTCGTCTCATCACGTGTCGCACGCAGTCCCTACACCTTCCTTACCACCACCCCAACCCCTTCCCTAACCCCTCTCTCCTGAGCCACCTGCACCTTCTGTCAGGGTCAATTCCACAAGCTTTGCAGACAACCGCCGTCAGCCCTCCATCCTTTCCACCACTATCCCACCTCGATCTTCTGCCAGAGTCATTTCCAATTGCTTCGCCGACAACAAACCCTCAGTTCAGTCATCTCAAGAGATCATGTGTAGGCCACTGCATGCTTTCTCAACCACCGCTAGAAACGGCCAGGGAAATCATAGTGTCAGTATGTCCCTTTAAATGCTCTGCCAACTGAGGACTCACTCACAGTGGAAATTTCTGCAACAAATGCAACCGTAGGAATGCCCAGTGGATTAGGGCTTGTCCGCTGTCAACTGCTCTGGCAGTCTACGGCATATAATCACACACTACTGTACTTCACGAACTACATGTTATTTTCATTTTTGAGATAGCTAGCATGAATGCAGTCCACAGAGCAGTCCACTGCCTGTAAATCATTTTCAGACACGTCATCCCCATATAAAACGTACAGTCAGTATCGCTGTACCTAGACTGAAAGTTGCCCGAAATAAAGACCATATACATTCCACTCAGGGAAAGACAGGTACCTAATACTCACAGTAGCTTTTATCGCAAGATTGTTCTGCGGTTTGCAGCCTCTTTCTTTATGTTTTCAGCCTCAAGAAAAACAAAAAGACATATCAAAGGAGGCCTCAGAAAAGAGGACAAAAAGATTGTCCACGTTTTTCTGCCATCCTTTCTCCTCGGCACAGCCTGCATTTTGCGAGCCCACTGCAAACATTCTAGACGTATCCGGACCTGGCAATTGTCCCAATACATTTGACCCTCTGCCTGCTGTTGGTCAAAACTAAAATCCTGGACCAGTCCAAATGGATCCGGTCCACTGCACACTCATGGAGAATGTGATGGCGGTCTTCACCGACCATCGGCCCTGCACATGACTGATAGCTAGGACTAAGAACATTTGCACACTCAAGACGACGTCCACGCACATCACCACCTTTAGGAAGAGATTCTGCTGTCAACGCCTGGGAACTGAGTTGCTCTTCACCTGGCAGAAAAGGGGTACCCTACTATCCATCCGGTTCAGCAAGCATTTTTTTCCTTTTCCTCACTCTGAAAGGGGGCAGCCCCTGGCCTTATTACACCCTTCTGATTCCATCAGAAGCGGAGCTGGGAGTATTCGAAGGCGCCCTAAGCCTATACAGGGGACCCCTGTAAACATTGCTACCTCTCACAATCAAGGGGATGCATACAGTGGTGAAATTGATAGAAGGATATAGCTTAGTTTTGAAAGAGGGCATCAAAAAAAGGAAGATAGAAGACATAAAAAGAAAAAAAGGGGGGAGGGAACCTAACAAAAGGGAAAGGGAAAAAAAAAGAACATGCTACAATTATGAGAACGCATTCAGAACCCTGGGTCTGCCGTTACATTAAGCACGATGCAGAGCCTCGCTCCACTACACAACATTTGAGATGTATCTCAATCTTTACATCGTCCGAGGTCATTCAAAAAAAGGGGTCAGTCTGAATGTATCTGGACAACAACAAAATCAAATCGTCTGTATATTCACATCTTCTGCAGAGCAGTGAGGGGTACCGCCCTGCAATAATGATCAATGAAAACACACGCATTCAGAACCGTGCATTCTGGAAGGGTAAAAGAAAAAGAGTCTCAGATCTGCTCTCTGACCTCCTTTGTGGCTCACTGCTAGATCTGACAGTTCAGGTCCTGCTGGGACCAATAATGTCAGGGGTGACATCTTCTAAAAATATTAACTTCCACCCTTCAATAATTTGAGGGGGTCGCCCCTTCTTAGGGAAAGAAAAGAAATCATGCTTCAATAATGTCAGGAGTCTAGGGGTTCACCCCTTGTTAGGAACAAGGGAAAGAAATCATCCTTCAATAATGTCAGGGATTAACCCTCCTGGAAGAAAAAGAACTCACCGTTCAATAATGTCAGGGGCTAAACCCTTCTTTAAAAAAAAAGAACACAAAGAAATCATCCTTCAATAACGTGAGGTGTTAACCCCCTCACAGAAAAGAGGTAAAGAGGTAAACCCCTCCAAGGAAAGAAATTATCTTCCCTTTCCTCCCTCGTTTTTGAACGACTTCCAGAATAGGTAGTGTAATCACATGCCTGAATGATCGCGATGCCAATTGAAATGTTCAAAATAATACAGAAGTCCCTTCTTTAAAAAAAAAACACAGAAATCATCCTTCAATAACGTGAGGGGTTAACCCCCTCACAGAAAAGAGGTAAAGAGGTGAACCCCTCCAAGGAAAGAATTCTCTTCCCTTTCCTCCCTCATTTTTGAACGATTTCCAGAATGGGTAGTGTAATCACATGCCTGAATGATCGCGATGCCAATTGAAATGTTCAAAATAATACATGTAGGGAAACGAAGGGAAAGAGAGAAGAAGAGAAGAGAGAGGAGAGCGAGGACAAGAAAACCAAGCCAGAGTCGATAGGCCACATTTTGAGTCAATGAAGTCGTGCGTGATTATCGCAAGCACAAACGAGGTTATGGATTATAACGGCCCAGAGGGAATCCCGAAAGAAAACCCGAAGACGCCCGTCGTGATGCTCAGTCCTCGAGGCTGCTGAAAGCAGCAACAGCGGCAAAGTGACTCTACAGCCCTTTTTTTTTATGACGGCCTTGAGATATTATCATTGAGCTGACCGGCCCCAAGCAATTCATTAGTAGTTCGATGTACTCGTCAAGTTCCATCATCTGGATTCGAACACAGGTCTGTATTTCAACAGTTCATGGGTGTACCCACTGAGCTAGGCTCTTGGGTACGGTCCATTTCAGCCAGCACCCAACGGTC